AGATTTTTATGGGGATTTTTGTATTATGCTAATTAGATTCCCACGGGGGCGTGGACATCAACTCTAGTTAAGGCCTCTAAGTACACTGACCAGCCTGGGAGGAGCCTGCATTGTGTTAGATGCAAAGACAGTTATATCTATCTAGCAAGCTACGTTAGATCATTTGAAAGATAGCTGTTTTTCTGGTTAGTTATCTAATCTACAGTATATCAGCTTGTATAAATTGGAAATAGTATTTGCAAATAGTCTACATATTTCAGTGTTTTTAGATGCAATGTGCTTACCTTTTTTCACCTGCATCAGTTAGGTACCACGGCATGAAAGATTTCAAAATGTTCTTGCTGTCCTTCCGTCTGCAATTTGAATTTGATTGGCTGATAGGAAAGAATGAGCGGAGTTGCATAAACATCAGCCTGTGAGGAAGAGCAGCTTCACAGGCATCTTTACCACTTGTGCATCATTCTGTCATAGTGCTCCCCCATGTGGTTGACTATATTACTCTCATGCAAGTTATTCTTCCCACTGTCCCAAAAGTCAATTCACCATCATTCTTCTTGTCAAACAATACTTAAAGGACGACATCTTTGTAGTGCAAAATAATTGTACAAAGTAAAAAAATTACTTATCTTGTAGTGTGATTTAATTTGAAACTTTTCTTCAAGGATGCGCTTATTTAACTAGATCAGTAAACTGAGCAACACATAAATAGTTGCATCTTTATAACGCACATTTTGGAAGAAAAGCTGGCAGGCCGATTATAATGAGGTTCATGGTATTTATGCACTTTGTACAATTATTTTAGCCTTGGCAACCAGCCTGATCCCTGTGTTCACCATTCTATTTAACTTTCTAGAATGGTGAATGCAATGATCATCCACCAGGATACAATTCTTTGCACTATGAAAATGTCACCCTTTGTCAACAATAAAGACATTGCATCATCAATCTGCACCAAAAACCTTTTATTGTATAAAAGGAGTGGGGTAAATCTCAACTGTACAGGGGGAAACAGACTTAATGAAATACCATTTCTCACAGTATCAAAAAGCTCACGTTTTCCTCACTGATCTTTACACATTTGTCCTGTACAAATACAAAACAAATAATATTAATGACAATAACAATAATGGCATTGCTCTGAGTAATATAGTACTGGCCCAAAAGTTACTGCATTCAATATAAAATATCTACTATTCTGGTTGTTAAAGTAACTGTCCAGTGAAAATCTCACTTTTAAAAGTTAATATTCTGTTAACTCATACCTAAATAACGTTGTTGACTTATCCAATACTTGTATTTGTGGCCAAAGCATAAATTGAAAAAATAATAAATATAAAAATAAAATAACACCTCAAACTTGTATCTCAAATAGACGATTTAGAAAAATGCTTTCCATTTCCTCATAGAGGATGATGTCCATGAATATTTTTAATGATCGGTATACGCCCATACCATTCTGTTGTTGGGGTACACCTACACCATTCCAATGCAGAAAACCTGCTTTTTAACATAATTAATTTAAACTAATTGGAAGTAAAACTATTTCACTCATGTTGTTATTAATTATAGGTCATATTTTATAAAAATCTGTCAACACTAGACAGTTACTTTAAGAAGTGGAGTTTTGATTAATGATAAGAAGTGGAACACTCACACACATGCACACACACGTGCGCGAACACACACAATCAATTCACCCTTACATTATGTGGTGCCATAATGTTGAAGTGAGGGGTGACTAGTGGAGTGGATAAATATGCTCGTACAAAGACAGTCCAGTATAGAGGGTCATTAAGTCTTAAGTCGTATGCTGCCATGTCTAAACCATAGATGGATTTATGACGTTTTTGTTGGACAGAACATTGCTATATTGATGTATTGTGTTGTATTGATGTATTATGGTATTGTTTTCTTTGTGGTATATGGAGTAACACTTCACAATGGACATTAAAGGGGAACTACGAGTTCATGTTATTTCATATGGAAGAGTTGGTGTCTTGTATTGTATGCATCACTGTGGTGAGGTGGGTTTGACCAATGATAACTGATATTAGATCATATTCGATTTTAAACTCTGGGTGCATCCTAAATGGCCCCATATTCCCTATATAGTGCACTACTTTGAACCAAAGCTCTATGGGTCCTGGTCAAAGGTAATGCATTAGGGAGTAGGGTGCCATTTTGGATGGTTCTTCAGGTTTTGTGCATGTTGCAGGTCATCAGGACTGTTAGGTTAGGGCACCATGATCACACCGATATGCTCACCAACTTCACAAAAACAAAAGTGGGATCGATTTTTAGGATATGGAATGGATTTTTTTTTTATAACACATTTCAGTTGTAAATCCCCCCCCCCAAAAAAAATTATTGTTCACATTGTCTAGTCAGTGTTAAAAATAGAACTCCACTAGTTAGATTTAATATGGACTTTTTGATTATATACAGTATGTACACTTCTTATTGTTCTTTCATTATTTCTCATAGTCCTTAATCTCTAATACCATCTAAAAACAAGTTGCAATCAAATGCATATACTCTTCTAGAAAGATGTGCTTAGTAACATTGCTAGGAGTCAAAGCAGAGAATGATAGAAAATCATCTGAACATTGCATTGCATTGCTCTGTATGGACCAAAAAGATCCCTCGCTGCTTCAGGCATGCGCTCAACTCAACTCACACCAAGGTTCCCAGTCAGACAAGCATGATTCTCTGCACTTTGTTTTTATATTGTCAAGAGAAAAGGGATCTTCCATTTGATCATGTTTTATTTAGCTAGCGTTTGAAATTATGAAGGCTGCTGCGACTGCTAGCGAGAGAGCCAAACACTTTTTTTACATGTCCTTTAGTATGCCCTCTTTGTATGCATGTACCACAGGAGCTGTACTTAGCCACTGACTTCAGAACAGCGCTTATGAAGGAGGTTTGTGTATGTCCCAGTAGCAAGATGTACATTACCACTGACTCCAGAACAGTGCTTAGTAGCGAGCGCTGTGTATGTTCCAGTAGCAACATGTACTTAGCCACTAGCTTCAGAACAGCACTAGGAGCGAGGTCTGTGTATTTCCCAGTAACAAGATGCACGTTGCTACTGACTCCAGAAAAGTGCTTAGTAGCGAGCGTGTTCCAGTAGCAACACATATTTAACCACTGACCCCAGTACAGTGCTAGGAGCGAGGTCTGTGGATGTTGCATAATCAAGTGAATCCAGAGAGCAGAAGCTAAAAACAACCACCTTAAGACATGGAGATCAGTCAGGCTCAGAGTAGGAGTACTGATCTAGGATCAGTTTAGCCTTTTAGATAATAATGAATACGATAATATTTTACATTTAAGTCATTTAGCAGACGCTCTTATCCAGAGCGAAATACAAATTGGATCAGAACTCCTACTGTGAGACTCTTTGTGAATACAGGCCCTGATCTGGGTCTGGGTAGAAATGCTCGTAACAACAGAGTGCCTCGTGACTTGTCGTCAGGGCAATGAGACCCCGTTTCCCGGGTAACCCTGAAGACCAAAACAAACGTGCGTTTCTCAGATTGACTTTGATTCATTAAGGCTCAGACGGGCAAGAGGTAACACTGATGCCCCGAACACACACTTCTAAAATCATCAGTTCTGATTATGTGTTACACACACATACAAGCTCCCCTAGATCCCTGCGAGAGTTTAGTTTGTAATCTCAAAATTGTTTTTCTTATACTTTCACAGCCTCAAACACAATCTAAGGATTTGAAATAGGCAAAAAAAGAAGGGATGTTATTCTGTTAAGAGCCAAATCATTGGAAAAGAGAAAGAGAAGATAATGAAAAAACTACAGAAGGCCTTTAAAAAAAAAACACAAATACTGTTAGAGAACAACAAGCTATACATGTGGGGCAAGTGAACATTATTTAATTTCTGATTGAAACTATTAAGAAAACAGAATCTTAATAAAATTCACAGTCTTGTAGCTCCCTGTTGTAGGGGATGGGGGAGTGGATAAATGGGGGGGGGGGGGGGGGGTTGAATAAGACAGAATAAAACATTTCTACACCACCACACCCAAGGGGTCTGCTGACTCTGCTCAGGAAATGATATGTATGGAGGAGAGGACATGATGCATCATCAACTGTCTTTAAACAGCACACACTACACTAACGCTCACACACACACAGACACCCGCACACATGCACGCAAAGATATGTGCACACACACACATACACAATCACACACAGACAGCTAGCCCATGCACGCAATGCAGGTTAACAGAAGATAAAACCTCAGTAAACAGTTGCTAGACAGCTGAAAAGTAATCTCTGAGGTGTCTTCCCCTCTGAAATAAACAAAAAAGCCACATATCCTTCTCTGCCCCTCCACCTCCTCTCCGTCCTCCTCCTCTTCACTCCTCTTCTTGCTCTGAGCTGAGTGTGTGGTGTAGGTATCTCTGCATCATTTCAAAGTATGTCCTCTGTGTCTCTCTCCATCCAGCCTGTCCATCTCTCTCACTGGTTTGTCTTCACTAGTCTATCTTTTGGATGGATAGGGTGCTGTTGAAGTAGATAGCCTCTGGCTGTGTGCACACTGAGTGGGGTGTGAGGGAGAAACGGGGAGGTAAGCTGTGGGGGTGTCAGAGTTGTGGACTACCCCTTCAGGTGCTATGCAACCAGAAAACAACAACAAACTCCTCTCATCCTTTTGGGATCTTCATTCTCCACCTCTTTAATGTCATGATCTCCATGACGACCCACAGTTCAAAATAGAGGACAAGGCGTAGTGTAGACAGGACTAGGTCTAAACAATGGACCAGCAATGTGATCGAAAATGACTGGAAGTGAATGTTAGCAGTACAGAAAGCTCGCCATCAAAGTGGAAAATAAACACAATCGTAGTGAATTTCAGCTAACTACTCCGCAAACACATAACATAACTGTTTTACTGTCATTCTATTAATTAAAATGTTTTTCAAATTATTTACAGCCACTTTAATATTTGATTTCCCGACCACTGGTGACATTTTCAATGCTAATCCTGTAGAATCAGCAATGCCGCTGGTCCAATTAATTAGTTTATTTTCAAACGCTCCCGCATGGAATTGTTACGTTGTCTTAACCTTTGTTAGTTTTTACCTAGAGAGAGGAGAGGAGGGGGAACAGTAACAGGAAGTGACACAGCAGAGAACCTATATGGGTCAGAGTTCAAGGTTCAGGTCCTCCCATCTGAGTTCCATCTGAGTCGCGAGGGGGGCTGGGGCAGGGAGGTGATGGGTTGGAGGGCAAAGGTAGCAGAGGGTTAAGGTTTAAAGGTCAAAGGTCAGGGGTCATGGTTCACATCATGACGTGGCGCCTCCGGTGCAGGGCTAGGTGGTCAGACCGGGAGAAGGATCGGTCACAGTCGGTGCAGCGGAAGGGCTTGATGCCCGTGTGTTTACGGAAGTGTCGTGTAAGCTCGTCTGACCGGGCAAACCTCCAGGTACAACCCTCCCATGTACAGTGGTACGGCTTCTCTCCTACAGGGAAGAAGATATGGAGATTGGTTGATTGGTTGGTTGATTGATTGTGCAAATATTGGTTTAAAACAAGTTAAATGTAACTAAATGTAATCGAAAATGTAATCTATGTAATCCACAAAAATAATTATTTATCATGAGAGGGCCATAGACAATATTTAGTAATGCTGCATACTCAAAGAAAGGTAAAAATCTCACCTTTCTGGTAAAAAATAGTTATAAATTGCTGAGGTGAAGTCACTTTTGAGGACACAAGCTCAAGTACACAGTCAAAATATGCAAAAAATATACAAATAGGAAAACATTTATATGATGTATTTCCTATTCAACAAAACTTTGAATAAGGCTTGAAATTACATATACTTTCTAAATATAGCATAATCAAATTATAAAATGACTAACTAAGATTTCACCTTTTTCTAAAGGTCTCTTGATCCAAATGTCTGCCCCCATCGCTGTGAACATCTCACAGAGCTCTAGCCTGGCTTCCTGAACTCGTTAGGAACTCACCTTTAATCTCATATTAATATTGTCCAACTATGACAAACAGAAAGAGTTTTTTGTTTTAAATTATTTTAGATTAATGGCTATAAATTGATCTCTGAACGTGATGAAACCACTCTCTTCTGCTGCGCTACGATGAAACGATTGCAGGCATGTGCTTTGTCCACGGCTGTGACGTAGGGTTCAGCCAGGAGTTGATGGACAGTCGGAAGAGCAAATAAAATGGTAGGAGGGACATCCCAGCTTCAAGTGGTTTCAGATTACACATCCTACTTCACACACAGGCTCAGAAAAAAATACTACTGTGTCCGTGGGAACAATGCAAGCCATTTCGATCTACGGTATCCACAGATCGATTTATAAGCAAAAATGTCAGTCGGAACTGGGACCAGAACCACACATCTAAGAGATTTTAAGAGGCAGTACTTTCAGTGAAAACAGATAAGATATGAAGCTCTAGTATATAATTAATATACATTAATTGTCTATTCATTGGCTACAGAATGCGGGCCCTGGGTCAGTCATTGGCTATAGATTAGTATGTGGGTGGGACAGGGTCAGCGTGTGTGTTACCTGTGTGTATCCTGCGGTGGGCTTTGAGGTGTGAGCTCTTGGTGTACACCTTGTTACAGCCATCATAGTCACACATATGGACACGCCTCCTCTTCATATCCGGCGAATCAGGATCCACCTGCATGTCCATATCTACGCCTGACCTGAGAGAGAGAGGGAGAGGGAGAAGGGAAGGCAAAGGAGAGAGAGAGTGTGCACGGAGGAGAGAGAAACAATGTAATAGAGAAAGAGAGTGTGCACGGAGGAGAGAGAAACAATGTGAGAGAGAGAGAGAGAGAGAGAGAGAGAGAGAGAGAGAGAGAGAGAGAGAGAGAGAGAGAGAGAGAGAGAAAATAGACCTGTCATTATATGGGTCAGGCTGGAGTGACATGCATTGAGTCATGTATTTACTGAAATTACAGAATGTCACAGAGGATCACCTGTAGTAGCAGGATTACTAGAAAGCAGCTAGCTACCTATATATGAACTGTGTTACATGAGCAGACATGCTCTACATATGACCTTTACCTCTCCAGCCCCACCCATACGGTCTACGCCCTAACTAACCCTAGAAGGAAATGCCAATGATGTAACACCTATTGAGCTCGCCAGCTTGTAGTCCTAAAACCCGGAAATGAGTTACCCTCTGGTTCGTTCAGCCATTCCTATGGGGAAAATGAATGGGGAAAGAGGGTTTTGGGATAAATGCCAAAAATAAGGTCTGAGGTTAACACAAGCTTAGGAGATCTTATATGTTTTGTTATATGAGATAATATCAGTCAGTTAACATGACCTTTATCAATTATGAAGCCTTTATGTGCTTTTTTTTATTACAAAAATGCTTTAAAAAACCAAATCAGGAAGTTCAGCCCCCCTTTAACTGGCTACGGCATCTCAAAATGGACAAACAGTACTATTGGCGCTTTTTTTCCGTTTTTCAAGTGAAGGTCTTTTAAGGGAGTATGCGAACTGAAGCATGCTGACGCCTTAACAGTGCCTGACTCTTAATAATCACTGCTAATTAAGTCTATTGTTTAGGTTCATCACAACTCATAGTGATTTATGGTCCCTGGGTGAAGTTACAGGCCACAGCCACCAGAAAGGGCTAGACAGTAACTGTCAAAAACCCATACAGTTGGACAGCTTCCAGTTCAAAGCTGATCTCTCCCTCTCTCTCTTCTCTCTCTCCCCAATTCTCCTCTCGCTCTCGCTCCCCAACTCTCCTCTCGCTCTCTCTCCCCAACTCTCCTCTCGCTCTCTCTCCCCAACTATCCTCTCGCTCTCTCTCGCTCTCTTCTCCCCAACTCTCCTCTTGCTCTCTCCCCCTCTCCTGTTTTTTTTCCTGCCCATCTCTCCATCCACCCTCCTTTCCTTCCTCTCCCTCCCATCCTCCCTGTTCCTCGCGTCCTTTCAATTTCTCCACCCTGCCTGCCAATTAGTTCACTCCCTTTCCTCCTCTCCCTCTTCCTTTCTCTCGTTGTCTCTTCCCAGCCATTGGCTCAAACACACTAAACCAGCAAAAATATTGATAATATTATAGCTTCTTCACCATATCCAGCCTGTTTATCACACTAACTCACCCCTCTCCTTTTCTCTCTCCCTCTCTTTCCAAACCGTTTATAAGGTGTGACGGCAAACTGCATTACATAATCTTGTTTACACCTGGTTCTGGGACAACCCTGCCCAGCAACACACACACACACACACACACACACAGCTAAGTGAACTCTCCAAGCACACACCCTGCATTTCAGTTAGAGTGCAGCAAGCTCTGTCTCACACAAAGTCATGCCTTTGGGGGTGTGGAGGCTGCTGCTCCCTCCTACCAAAAACAATCACACATGTATACATTCCGTCTCCCCTGTTGCTGCCTCACTGCACATAGTGTGACACACACACACACTGCCTCTCCTCCAGTGTTCAGGGGTTATATAAGTGTCCAGAGCAGAGCATTGCTGCAGTAATGTAATTAGTGCCAGAGAGTGGAGATGAGAGAGAAGGGACGGGCCCAGCTCACCACAGCCAAACCCCCAATGAAGGAGCAAATTCATCCTATTTCATTATTCTCTAATAATACACTCAACCTGCTACACTCTTCCTGTATCACACCACTCCTATATCAGGACTGCTAAACTACCCTCATTATGTACCCCGCAAATGTCTGTTGAAATCGTGATAGCAATAAGTGTTTTATCGTATCTTGATTTAAAAAAACCACATATCAATCAGCCTCCATAAATTATCTGACACACCCTGTAACCAAGCCCTGTGTACTGGAGGATGAGCCCTACAGAACCACCACAACCCTGTGTCCAGGCCCATATCACCACCTTCCAGTCTATGACACTCACCCTGTGTCCAGGCCCTGTGTACTGAAGGACGCTGAACCCGACTCTGTCCCACTCTCCACATCACTGTCACTCTGGTACTCCACTGGAGACATCGAGCCAGGCTTGATACGCACTAGAGGAAAAGATGGATCGATGGAGAGGGGAAGAGAGAGAGGGAGAGAGAGGATGTATGAAAGATGGGGAGAAGGAGCAATGGGACAGTGTAAGAAAGAGAATTGGACGAGGTAGAGGAAGTTGGAAAGGTTTACAGAGAGAGAGGGGAAGAGAAAGGCAAACAACAACAGGGGGTTAGCGACTTAAATCCAAACAACAGTAAAACACAGTACTTGGCAACACAAAAGGTAAGCCATCCCAGCTGAGCTGATTTGAATTTCTATTTGTGTGAGAGAATTCCTCATTATACTTAGGTGTGGTTCGCTGTGCTGCGGAGGCGGGTGATTGTATTTGTGAACCCCCCTCTTTCCCCTACCCCCATCCCTCCCTCTCTTAGTGGGTCAGAATGTGGTGACTGCACTGTTCAAAGTTTCTCTTCCCTGAGGATGAGAGGGGGTGGAGGTGTAGTGACGATGGGGTTGGGATTGAGGTAGGGTAAATAACTGTCCTTTGTGCATGAGGACAATCCCCCCCTCCCGTCACCCACACACTCCTCACCGCTGCTCTTTCTCCCGCGTTTGATAGTGGTCGCTGTGCGCGGTTCTGAAACATCAGTGCGCTGTTGAATTGGCGCCTTTTCCTAGACCATGTTGCAATGTGCATAATAGCAAAGTTAACCAGCATATTGGTGTTGAGAACAATGCGGCGGAGGCAGCAGCGGAGTTAGGAGACGAGAAAACAGCCCTTGCCTTAATTGTCTACGAAAAGTGAGGAGAGAGGAAACCTCAACTTAATTAGGTCTATAATCAATAGCCTAACTGTTAAATGTGCCTGGATTTTTGTAAATCATCCATATACAGTACCAGTCAAAAGTTTGGACACACCTACTCATTCAAGGGTTTTTCTTAATTTTTTAGAATTTTCTACATAGTAGAATAATAGTGAAGACATCAAAACTATGAAATAACACATATGGAATCATGTAGTAACCAAAAAAGCATTAAACAAATCAAAATACCCTTTGCCTTAATGACAGCTTTAAAATGCGGCTATTTTTAATCTTTGCTATGCTGTAATAAATGCTTTGCACTTTTTTTCCCCCATTAGAACAGCCTCTCTGGTATTACTTATGTATTTAGTGTTGTTTACGCTGTTCCAAATTGTCTGAAAAATTATATTTATAATAATAACCCTCCTTTTTCTTGATCTCATTCTTATTGTTATTATTACTATTATTATTATGATCATCATTATGATAATAAGTAATATCATTATCATTAGTAGGCTTAGTAGCCTATAGCAGCCTTATATAACCACCATCGAACTGTAGGCCTAAGAGCGCATCCTGTTTAGTCTTAACACCGTAACTTACTCAGGCCTATATTTCAATACTTATATAGGCTACTATATCAATAAATCATTAATTAGTTAATATCATCACACAGCATACGAGTCATTCATGATTTGAAATGCAACCAAGCATTTTAGTTTAAAAATAAAATAACAAAGCGACCCTTGAATAATTAGTGTAAACAATAAATAAACTGTTCCATTTCGGCAATTGCATTCACGAATACATGTGACTGTTTTTAGTCTTTGCTGTAATAAAGGCTTTACAAAAAAAACGTTACCACAGACTCTCTGGTACGCTTTCATTTATTTAGTGTTGTTTACAGTGTTCCAAATGGTCAGAGAAAGTATATTGTAATCTAACAGCGCTAGCTCCTTACCTTATTTTTCTTGCTCTCCAGTATTTCCCAAAACTAGTCAAATTTATTCCACACATCTGACTTCCCCTTTACCTCCTGAGCAAACAGTGAGTATTCCCCATATCGAGTTTATTTGTCACGTCCTCTGCATCCATTTTGCTGTCACATGGGTTACGGTGTTCAGAGTTTATTATAACAAATGTATTGATGTTATTATGATATGCTATAGGTCAGGCCATATTGGTCACACGCATGCGATGCATACATGTGTCACGTAAAGAGAGCAAAGGTTGAGGGAATAGGGAATGTTTTTCCTAACAAATGAGGGATTTCGGCTGTAATTATGTTGCAGCTACAGCAACACCACAGAGCGATAAACAGTTTTGATGTTCCGTGTTGGTCGCTGCAGCAGGGAGGAGAGAGAGACAACGGGTGCTAGTCACACTGGCTGTCTTTTTTTTTTTTCACAGCACAGCAAGTCTGAGTCTGGCGCGGCACAATCAATTCAATTGCGGTCGGACTCCCTCTAGTCATTTGCGTGTCTTAATTATTTTATCAAACAGCATCAGACAAGCTCAGTGCATCTAGTTGAAATGATTAAAACACATATAATGTGTATATATGTGTATTATTTATTTCCTTTATTTTAGGGGTAGATCCATCAATGTAATTGTCTGCATCTTTTCCAATCCCCTATATACAGTGGGGAAAACAAGTATTTGATACACTGCCGATTTTGCAGGTTTTCCTACTTACAAAGCATGTAGAGGTCTGTAATTTTTATCATAGGTACACTTCAACTGTGAGAGACGGAATCTAAAACAAAAATCCAGAAAATCACATTGTATGACTTTTTAAGTAATTAATTTGCATTTTATTGCATGACATAAGTATTTGATACATCAGAAAAGCAGAACTTAATATTTGGTACAGAAACCTTTGTTTGCAATTACAGAGATCATACATTTCCTGTAGGTCTTGACCAGGTTTGCACACACTGCAGCAGGGATTTTGGCCCACTCCTCAATACAGACCTTCTCCAGATCCTTCAGGTTTCAGGGCTGTCGCTGGGCAATACGGACTTTCAGCTCGCTCCAAATATGTTCTATTGGGTTCAGGTCTGGAGACTGACTAGGCCACTCCAGAACCTTGAGATGCTTCTTACGGAGCCACTCCTTAGTTGCCCTGGCTGTGTGTTTCGGGTCGTTGTCATGCTGGAAGACCCAGCCACGACCCATCTTCAATGCTCTTACTGAGGGAAGGATGTTGTTGGCCAAGATCTCGCGATACATGGCCCCATCCATCCTCCACTCAATACGGTGTAGTCGTCCTGTCCCCTTTGCAGAAAAGCATCCCCAAAGAATGATGTTTCCACCTCCATGCTTCACTCAAACATTTTTGAGACAAAAATTGATGCTTCACTGTCATCCTTCTTCTTCCTCCAAACAAGGCGAGTGGAGTTTAGACCAAAAAGCTCAATTTTTGTCTCATCAGACCACATGACCTTCTCCCATTCCTCCTCTGGATCATCCAGATGGTCATTGGCAAACTAGACGGGCCTGGACATGCGCTGGCTTGAGCAGGGGGACCTTGCGTGCGCTGCAGGATTTTAATCCATGACGGCATAGTGTGTTACTAATGGTTTTCTTTGAGACTGTGGTCCCAGCTCTCTTCAGGTCATTGACCAGGTCCTGCCGTGTAGTTCTGGGCTGATCCCACACCTTCCTCATGATCATTGATGCCCCACGAGGTGAGATCTTGCATGGAGCCCCAGACCGAGGGTGATTGACCGTCATCTTGAACTTCTTCCATTTTCTAATAATTGCGCCAACAGTTGTTGCCTTCTCACCAAGCTGCTTGCCTATTGTCCTGTAGCCCATCCCAGCCTTGTGCAGGTCTACAATTTTATCCCTGATGTCCTTACACAGCTCTCTGGTCTTGGCCATTGTGGAGAGGTTGGAGTCTGTTTGATTGAGTGTGTGGACAGGTGTCTTTTATACAGGTAACGAGTTCAAACAGGTGCAGTTAATACAGGTAATGAGTGGAGAACAGGGGGGCTTCTTAATTGAAAAACTAACAGGTCTGTGAGAGCCGGAATTCTTACTGGTTGGTAGGTGATCAAATACTTATGTCATGCAATAAAATGCAAATTAATTACTTAAAAATCATACAATGTGATTTTCAGGAAAAAAATTAGATTCCGTCTCTCACAGTTGAAGTGTACCTATGATAAAAATTACAGACCTCTACATGATTTGTAAGTAGGAAAACCTGCAAAATCAGTGTATCAAATACTTGTTCTCCCCACTGTATATATTTTTTCTATATATATATATATATCTATATATATATATATATATATATATATATATACATATACATATACATATACACACACACACATACATGCATACATACACATACAGTACCAGTCCAAAGTTTGGACACACCTACTCATTCAAGGGTTTTTCTTTATTTGTACTATTTTCTACATTGTAGAATAATAGTGAAGATATCAAAACTTTGAAATAACACCCATTTATCTCTTAACACCATCCATATTGGATTTCTATTTGCCATATATTTTTCAATGTTTGTGGGTGTTTGTGTACGTGCATGTGTTCGTGCGTGTGTGTGGGGAGAGGGGTTCTTATGAAGACAGTAAGGGGCGGTGCCAGTGTGAGATATTGTGACGCGGTGAAAAAGAGACAGTGAGATATTATAACTGAAAGAGAGGAAAAGAGAGAATGAGAAAGTGCATGACAGTGAGATACAACAGGTGCATGTGTCCGTGAGAAAGAGCTTGTGTGTGAGAATGAGATTGTTTTGAAGAGAGTTAATATTGAAGAGACCCAAGAGAGATGTATTGCTTGCGAGAAAACCGTTCAAGAGGACAAGTGACACCCGATAAAGTGACAAAGATAAAGAACAAGGGAGAGGAATCACCTACTTCTGCCTGCTAGAGAAGAAGAGGATGGATGTGACCAGAGAGAACTCTGTTATCGTTTCTCTATTAAAGGGATAGTTCACCGAAATTACAAAATGACAAATAGACTTCCTTACTCTGTAAGCAGTCTATGGACAAGGTATGCTTTGGTTTTGTTTACCTGGCCACTGTTTTAAATGCTAACTTTTTAGCATTTGTGGCACAAAGCCAATGCAAGTCAATGGTACCTATATTAGCATTTTTGCGCTTAATGTCCAAATCATCCTTTATCATCCAAAATTGATTGTGTCACTCAATGAAGTTCCTTATAGATGATTCGAAAATGAAGCGCAAAAATGCTATCCCTTTAACTCTGAAGCCTTTATTTAAATCCTTATCTTAGAAGGTTGTATTTATGACATTCATATTGTGATTGTTTCAGCCTCATTACTTCAATGCTCTGGACAAGAGCGTATGCTAACTGACTAAAATCTATAACATAAACCTCAAAGCTCCATCTCAACAAAACACACCACCATCCTCCCTCCCTCTGACTCACCGGATCCCTCCGAGCGCCCGTCGCTCCCAATGAGCGGGACTGTGATGGCAGCGGTGGCCACCCCGTCCGTGGGAATGGTTGTGTAGACTACGGGCAGAGACTGGACCACCACGGGAATGGTCTGTAGCTGGCCCATCTTACTGGGCATGTTGACCGACGGGATGGTGTGGATGACATGCAGGATCTGCTGACCGCCTGCCCCCTGGGTGGACGCTAGGATGGAGCCAGGGGAGAGCATCTGTAGGAGGGCGGGATGTATGGAGAAGAGGAGGGGAGGGGATAGTGTGGGTATACATGTAGAGGAGCAAGACAGTGCACTACTTTTGTCCAGAAAGGAGAACAGGGTGCCATTTTGGACACAGACATTGTGTCAAGAATGGGAGTACTGTATTCAATTGTTAAACTGAAAGACAGAGCCTTTCAATAAAAAAAAAACATTGTAAACTAACAGTTACTACAAAAGGCATAGGAACCTGACTTCCACATTTTTGGCAGCCCCTAATATGCGTGAGTGTATTTCAATTTTAAGCCAACAGACACTACTACCCATCATTCCAAAAAGAGGAGCTAGCTAGCGAACCGATTGGCTTAATAACTGGTGTGGTTACCATGGTGTCTAGGAAGGTTACCGTAGGGATGGGGGTTGCCGACAGCATGGGCATCGCCACAGAACTCGGGGCGGGGTTGGCTGTGGTGGTTGGCGTAGAGACGGGCAGGGAGGGGCGTGGCTTGCCGAGTGACAGGTCGACAGGTTCCGTCTGGTCCTCCGGGGGGAGGGAGGAGTCGTCTGTTGTTGTGTCTGTGGTCATGCCTGTGGCTGTGGAGAGTAGAGGGGGAGACACAGGCTGGGTCTTCTCTATCTTGATCTTCAGGTCTGTAGGCTGGGGACACTCCTCACCTACTTCAGCCTATATATATATATATATATATATATATATATATATATATATATATATATATATATATATATATATAGAGAGAGAGAGAGAGAGAGAGAGAGAGAGATGTATGGAGTAAGAGACAAAGAGGGAAAGGGTGAGGAAGAGAGAAAAGGAGAGAGGGAAGGGGGAGATAAATAGGGAGGAAGACAGTGGAGAGAGGAAGAAAGAGAGATGTCAGCACATGATATTTCTCCACACACACCCACCCACACTCACTCACTACAAACACGCTACACACACAGGCCTGGCCCCCAGACCCTGCTCTCACCTCAGCTCAGTTCAGCTGTACTCTCTGGCTGCACAAACAGAGCAGAGCAGGTTAGGGGAACAATGGTTGCTGTGTGGGGCCCTGGGAGCTGAGAGGGAGCTGGGAGGTGGAGAACAGAGCAGCAGGCCTAGAGCTGGCACACTGCCAGGAGAGAACAGCCCTGCCCAGCCCTGGCCAAGCCCTGCACTGACGCACCGGGCGTGTTTGAGCGTTAAGGCTAAAGCAACCGGCTATAGACGAAAGTCAAGGAGTGAAGTCGGGGGAGGTGCATCAGCGACAGCCGAAAGTCAGACACTAATGTGCAAGGCTCAGATCAACATGGCAGTGTTGCCAAATTAAAACAAATGTTTTCTTTATATGGTCGAAATAAATGATATTATCTAACCCCCCTATCACACACTCACAAACTGAAATCATAATATAATATTATGTGTGTAGATTCATTGTACAATCAATTAGTGAGAGAGACTCAAATATCACATGTACAAAAACATTAAGGACACCTGCTCTTTCCATGACATAGACTGACCAGGTGAAAGCTATGATCCCTAATTGATGTCACCTGTTAAATCCACTTCAATCAGTGTAGATGAAGAGGAGGAGACAGGTTAAAAGAAGGATTTTTAAGCCTTGAGACATGGATTGTGTAGGGTTTAAGTGTCTTTGAACGGGGTATGGTAATAGGTGCCAGGAGTAGGGCTGTGGCGGTCACGAAATTTCATCAGCTGGTGATTGTCAAGCAAATAACTGTCAGTCTCAAGGTAATTGACCGTTAATTAACATAAACACATTTAGCATCTCCTGGCTTCCACACATAGCCTACAAGCCATTTTAAAAAGTCTAATAAATGCATGTAATATAGCCTACACAGTAAATCCATTATTTATTTTAGACAGGTTTAAAGAAGAAAATGTAGTCGATTTCAGAAGAAAATAATAGCATACTCTGAGTTGTCCTTACGTTAGGTCCTGATGTAGCTATGCCAAATGGCTGTGGGCTACACTAGTTCATTTAACAGACAAGATTTGCTTATAATTCAGTGGCATTATTTTATAGTATGAAGAATACAATTGAACAAAGCTGAATTAAATAGAAAGGATATTTTCTACAAACGATTTGAGGGAGTGCACACATGCGGCTATTCTGTGTTGAGTGGTTAACAAAGAAATAGGTACTCCTATAGGCTTAATTTAGAGTTATTCATGTAACTTTAGTTGTTCTAAAGTTGTTCTAGCGTAGTGCCAGTAACCGAAAGGTCGCTGGTTCTAATCCCCGAGCCGACTAGGTGAAAAATCTGTCGATGTGCCCTTGAGCAAGGCACTTAACCCTAATTGCTCCTGTAAGTCGCTCTGGATAAGAGCATCTGCTAAATGACTAAAATGTAAATGTTCTACAAACGTTAGGCTATATGTTTTGATTTTTTATACATCGTAAGGCTTCATGATGAGACTCTAATGATGACTTGAAAAAAGTCATGAGCTCTGCTTTGTTTTTTGCGCAGGCTGTACACACTCCAATTGTCTCTCATTCACAATATGACAAGCACTTGATAATACCTCGAATTTCACGGCGGCATCCCCTTTGTGGCCATAATGCACCCATAAAAAATCCATGCCTTTTGCGGCCCGGAGTGCTGCGTTGTGCCCTTCTCCCTGAGAGTGCTGCGCAATCCGAAGCGTCTCTCACTCACACGGCTCTCCGTCACGTGATCGGGTCTTTCTCACAGGTTACAACTGTGTGCGTCCTTATCCAATTCCGAGGTGCATATTGAAGATATTGGAAGAACTGTTCACATTTACTTTTCGTCAGCCAACAAGATGAGTAGGCCTAATGAACAGCAAAAGCACTAGCCTATGTCAATCTACTATCCCCCATAGTACAAAAGTCGACCTATTCTGTGCGAGAAATAAATATTTAAAACATAGTCTGGGACAGTTGTGGGAAGCGATAGATCTCAAATTAATACAACCACTAGCATAAAAAAAAACGTTTTTATGCAATGTGGCTGACGCAACAGATCAGACCATTTAGCTTAACATGTTGATCAAATCTCAGGCTATTTCTTCACATTATAAGTGCAGCAATGCACACATGGTAGTAGGCTATAAGCACGAATGTTCCATTAGCTGAAAACACCATTATCAAAAGTGACCGCAAATGCAATTATGCATGTAATGCTTTTATTATAAGGTGCATTTTTATGGTGAAAATGATCTTCCCCAAACTTGAAACTCACGCGCTGTTTATATATGCCAGTTAGGCTCTACACCCCTTGTAAAGCTGATTAATGTGCTTAATTTAAAGAAGTTATTTGGCCACTTTAGTTGGGAAACAAACCTTATTAAAACATAAAGGCCTATGGGCTAGGCTACAGTGGGCACCAAAATTACTGGCACCCCTGACTGGCAATGCACAAACAATACTTAAAAAAATATAAACAATATAATTATAGAGAAACTCAAAATTCCAGCATATGAGAAATACTGTACTATATTAATGTTCCAATGGAGCTCACCAAAATCATTTATTGATTTAATTAAAAATCAATGTCCTCCAAATCAAGGTTTCACAATGAATGGCACCCTTAAAGATTATTGTAAATAACATCTACCAAAATTAAACCAGGAATTAAATTCCACTTATTTAAGTTTATCTAAGTCTTAAGGAACTATTTTGAGCCATTACATCACTTCCTGTTTCACTAGGGTATAAAAATGAGGTAACACACATGCAATATCCCTTTGTCATCCAACACCATGAAGAAAACAAAATAACTGGCAGTTCAAAAGAGATAGATGGTTGTAGACCTTCATAAATCTGGTAATGGCTCCAAGAAGATCCACAAACGATTGAATATACCACTGAGCACTGTCAGAGCAATTATTAAAAAATTTAAAATATATGGAACAGTTGAAAACCTCACAGGTAGAGGACGCAAATGCATTTTGCCCCCCAGGATAGGGAGGAAGATGTTGAGAGAAGCAACAAAATCCCCAAGAATCACTGTGAAAGAATTGCAGGCCTTGGCGGCGTCTTGGGGTCACCAGGTTTCAAAAAGCACCATCAAACGCATGTATTAAATAATTGCATGATTTTGGTTGGTTCCATTGAAACATTAATAAAGTACAGTATTTCTCACATGTTGGTATTTTGAGTGTATCTCTATAATTACAGTGGCTTGCGAAAGTATTCACCCCCCTTGGCATTTTTCCTATTTTGTTGCCTTACAATCTGGAATTAAAATGGATTTTTGGGGGGGGTTGTATCATTAGATTTACACAACATGCCTACCACTTTGAAGATGCAAAATATTTCTTATTGTGAAACAAACAAGAAATGACACCAACAAAACAGAACTTGAGCGTGCATAACCCCCCCACCCCACAAGTTAATACTTTGTAGAGCCACCTTTTGCAGCAATTACAGCTGCAAGTCTCTTGGGGTATGTTTCTATAAGCTTGGCACATCTAGCCACTGAGATTTTTGCCCATTCTTCAAGGCAAAAATGCTCCAGCTCCTTCAAGTTGGATGGGTTCTGCTGGTGTACAGCAATCTTTAAGTCATACGACAGATTCTCAATTGGATTGAGGTCTGGGCTTTGACTAGGCCATTCCAAGACATTTAAATGTTTCCCCTTAAACCACTCGAGTGTTGCTTTAGCAGTATGCTTATGGTCATTGTCCTGCTGGAAGGTGAACCTCCATCCCAGTCTCAAATCTCTGGAAGACTGAAACAGGTTTCCCTCAAGAATTTCCCTGTATTTAGCGCCATCATTCCTTCAACCAGTTTCCCAGTCCCTGCTGATGAAAAACATCCCCACAGCATGATGCTGCCACCACCATGCTTAACTGTGGGGATGGTGTTATCAGGGTGATGAGAGGTGTTGGGTTTGCGCAAGACATAGCGTTTTCTTTGATGGCCAAAAAGCTCAATTTTAGTCTCATCTGACCAGAGTACCTTTTTCCATATGTTTGGGGAGTCTCCCACATGGTTTTTGGCGAACACCAAACGTGTTTGCTTATTTTTTTCTTTAAGCAATGGCTTTTTTTCTGCCCACTCTTCCGTAAAGCCCAGCTCTGTGGAGTGTATGGCTTAAAGTGGTCCTATGGACAGATTCTCCAATCTCCGCTTCAGGGTTATCTTTGGTCTCTTTGTTGCCTCTGATTAATACCCTCCTTGCCTGGTCCGTGAGTTTTGGTGGGCGGCCCTCTTGGCAGGTTTGTTGTGGTGCCATATTCTTTCAATTTTTTAATAATGGATTTAAATGGTGCTCCGTGGGATGTTCAAAGTTTCTGATATTTTTTTATATCCCAACCCTGATCTGTACTTCTCCACAACTTTGTCCCTGACCTGTTTGGCGAGCTCCTTGGTCTTCTTGGTGCCGCTTGCTTGATGGTGCCCCTAGCTTAGTGGTGTTGCAGACTCTGGGGCCTTTCAGAACAGGTGTATATATACTGATATCATGTGACAGATCATGTGACACTTAGATTGCACACAAGTGGACTTTATTTCACTAATTATGTGACTTCTGAAGGTAATTGGTTGCACCATATCTTATTTAGGGGCTTCATAACAAAGGGGGTGAATACATATGCACGCATCACTTTTCTGTTATTTATTTTTTAGAATTGTTTGAAATAAGTAATTTTTTTCATTTCACTTTACCAATTTGGACTATTTTGTGTATGTCCATTAAATGAAATCCAAATAAATTTAAGTTACAGGTTGTAATGCAACAAAATAGGAAAAACGCCAAGGGTGCTTAATACTTTTGCAAGGCACTGTTAGCTCTGCAGTACTTTGAAGTTTATGTTGGTTCCAGTGTATACTGACCATAACCCCTTAGTTTTTCTCCACCGTATGTACATCCAGAACCAACGCCTTATGCGTTGGGCACTTGTAGTGCAAAATTATAAATTTGGAGATCTGCCACAAAAAGGGTTCGGATAATGTGTTGGCAGATGCTTTGGTCTCGTGTTTAGAGATCTAGGTTTTTTTTTTTATTCCCTCAGGGTGTTGTGATAGTACGTGTGTCGCAAACCATTGTGGTTTGCTCTTTTAAGGGTGGGAGTGTTACGGATACAGGTATCCTGTGTTTTTTGTGTGTTTTTCCTCTCCTTCTGCCCTAATCACAGGTGTCCTTTGTGTTCCTGATTGGTGGTCGTTGGGGTGTCCCACCTGTCCGACATCCGTTTGTCTGCTGATTGCTGAGGTGGACCAATCAGTGGACATTCCTCTGCATTGCGCCACCTGTTTCTGGTTTTTCACTCACATCACACATCCCATTGTTTTAAAAGCCAGTCAGTTGTGTTTGCTGACAGAGACTCTTTTCGTATGTGAGTATGGATACTGTGGTATCCTGTTTTTTGTGTACTCACTCATTTGCTGGTTACTCTGTTGTGTGTTCATGGGAAAAGGGGGATTTAGCAAGTTGCCCTTGGGCATACATTACCCGTAGAAAGAACATTGTCTAACAACACTAGTTAGACCTGAGCGGACCACCCACTGTATTTTTGTATGGTTAGCAGTAGCTTAGCGATTCTTGAGGCAGGCAAGATCAGTTTAGGGTTTTTTTACATTATTGTTTCATTCCTTGGGTCCTGCTCATTCCTTTTTCCCAAACCTTTACCGTGTGTTCATAATAAACATTTTGTGTTTGACGGTAGCTTATGGTTGTCGGTGTATTTTTGTTCTCATTGTTTTCGTGTCACCATTCTAATTTGCATGAGTTATGTTACGGGTCTCTTGTCCATCCACCCAAAGCCACGGGGTTCGTAACATAACGTGGCCTGCAACACTGCTGGGTTTTTCATGTTCAATAGTTTCCCATGTGTATAAAGAATAGTCCACCACTGAAAGGACATCTAGACAGCTTGACACAACTGTGGGAAGCATTGGAGTCAGCATGGGACACCATCCCTGTGGAACACTTTCGACACCTTGTAGAGTCCACGCTCTGACGAATTAAGGCTGTTCTGAGAGCAAAATGGGGGGTGCAACTCAATATTAGGAAGGTGTCCTTAATGTTTTGTACACAGTGTATATCCACTGTATACATAAATTGCTGCGAATTGCAAAGTTTCAGTCATGTCTTTAACGTTTGCATGGGTCAAACAAAAACACCCTAATGATTGGTTGACAATAGAGCCACAATGCAGGCGATGGCTGCAGGATGAAGTTGGTGAAGAGCAACTGCAGACACTTGCAGTCAAAACTTCATGACCTTTGAACACATGATTTTTGTAAAGTTCAAACAGTTGGACAACTTTTTGCCCTAGAATGCAACACACTTTGAAAGGTGGTGACCAACGATGGTCAACGACTTGACAAAAGTGATCCGCTCGAACGTGCCCACTGACCAATAGTAAGCAAGTACAGAGCATATAGCAGCACTCTGCTAGCTCACAGTATGACATACATTCAGCATAAAGCAGCCTAGCCCTGGCCCTGCACTGACTGCACCCTGCTACAGCATACACAGCAGAGCACTACACAACAGCCCTATCTAGCATGGAGCAGCAAAGAAAAACAAAGCATAGCATAGGGAAGGAGAGAGAAGCAGCACAGCCTTGCCAAGGCCAAGCACTTCACCCAGATATTCTAAGGAGGCAAACAAAACAGAAAAACTGCATAGTCTAGCCTTGGTCAACCCCAGGCACTGCATAACACAGAGCACTAAGCACCCCCTGCCCAGCCTTGGTCAAGCCCAAGCTCAAACACTGAGGCAGTGCACCCAGATACAATATGGAGATGTCTGGCCAAATCTGAGCACTACCCAGTGCCCACTATCCAGGCAGTACATACCCAACCCAGAGGGCAGAGGGGCACTCATGCATGCACACACACACACACGAATGCCATGTATGAGTTGATCGTTCCTGCAGGAATTTCAAGACAAACACACAATTCCTGCTTTTGAGTTGTCTGGTTACATAAGCTGCAAACTTGTCAGTGAGAGACCGCTATAAGGGATGATGTGATATTCTAAACCCTCTACCCAAACTAGCCTATCCTACATCACGACAGTTAGAGTGGACACAGGTAGACCCAGAAAAGAGAGAGGGAATTCAGTCAGTGTACATAATAACATATAGGCTAGGCTACATGTTATTGGTAGAAAAGGAGTGGGCGGGGGTGGGGGAGAGAGGGTGAGAGAGTGTGTGTGAGAGAGAGAGTGGGTGGGAAAGGCCTCCAAGTTGCCATGGAAACTTGGAAGTATCAGCTGACTCGTTTTTTCCCTCATATCTTCACGCCCACCCACTCCCTTCCTCCCTCACTCCCTTCTCTTCCCTCCATTCCTCTCTCTCTGGTTCCACACCCTTTCACCTCACCCTCTCATGTTAGTCTGTTTGTCCTCCACACCTTCCCTCCATCTCTCTACCTCTTTTCTCTGTTTCTTTCTATCCATCTCTTTTCCATTTCCCCTTTCACAATGGTTTAGATTAGACTTATAAGAATATTCAGACACCCACTGTTCTCAGCTAAAACATTTCAAACGGAGCTCCTACAAATCTGTCAAAATTACACCCTCACCCCATTCCTATTACACATTGACAATAGGGAGAGAGTGGCTGTGTCCAAAATGGCTATTCCCTATATAGCCTTGTCCCTGAGCGGGCCCTGGTCAAAAGCAATTTGACTTAGTTTAACTGCCACAGCTATAGGTTCTATTTCAGCTCTCCACTGCAATAACCAACACTAAAATATCAACACCTGCATCACAATGCAATACAATTGCATTTTGTCTGGCAACAGCATCAGAGCATGCATTCCACATTTTGCTACGTTACAGCCTTTTCTAAAATGTATTAAATAAAATGTTTTCATCATCAATGTACACACAATACCCCATAATGGCAAAGCAAAAAACAGGTTTTTAGAAATACCTTATTTAAAAACAGAAATACCTTATTTACATAAGTATTCAGAACCTTTACTATGAGACTCAAAATTGAGCTCAGGTGCATCCTGTTTCCATTGATCATCCTTGAGATATTTCTACAAATTCATTGCAGCATCAAACCTTCTGCAGCATTGAAGGTCCCCATGAACACACTGGCCTCCACCATTCTTAAATGGAAGACTTTTGGAACCACCAAGACTCTTCCTAGAGCTGGCTGCCCGGCCAAACTTAGCAATCGGGGGAGAAGGGCCTTGGTCAGGGAGGTGATCAAGAACACGATGGTCATTCTGACAGAGCTCCAGAGTTCCTCTGTGGAGATGGGAGAACCTTTCAGAAGGACAACCATCTCTGCAGCACTCCTCCAATCAGGCCTTTATGGTAGAGTGGCCGGACGGAAGCCACTCCTCAGTAAAAGGCACTTGACAGCCCGCTTGGAGTTTGCCAAAAGGCACCTAAAGGACTCTCAGACCATGAGAAAGAAGATTCTCTGGTCTGATGAAACCAAGATTGAATGCTTTGGCCTGAATGCCAAGCGTCACGTCTGGAGGAAACCTGGCACCATCCCTACGGTGCAGCAATGTGGTGGCAGCATCATGCTGTGGGGATGTTTTTCAGCGGCAGGGACTGGGAGACTAGTCAGGATTGAGGGAAAGATGAATGGAGCAAAGAACAGAGAGATCCTTGATGAAAACCTGCTCCAGAGCGTTCAGGACCTAAGACTGGGGCGAAGATTCACCTTCCAATAGGACAATGACCCTAAGCACACAGCCAAGACAATGCAGGAGTGGATAAGTCTCTGAATGTCCTTGAGTGGCCCAGCCAGAGCCTGGACTTGAACCCGATCCAACGTCTCTGGAGAGACCTGAAAACAGCTGTGCAGCAACGCTCCGCATCCAAGCTAACTCCCCAAATACAGGTGTGCCAAGATTGTAGCGTCATACCCAAGAATACTTGAGGCTGTAATCACTGCCAAAGGTGCTTCAACAAGGTACTGAGTAAAGGGTCTGAATACTTATATATTATACATTTTAATAAACTAGTAAAAGATAAATAATAATTTGCTTTTTCATTATGGGGTATTGTGTGTAGATTGATGAGAAAAAACAAACAATTGAATCCATTTTTAGAATAAGGCTGTAACGTAACAAAGTGTGGAAAAAGTGAAGGGGTCTGAACTATTTCAGAATGCACTGTATAAACACATCAAAAGGCATACAATCAACCGTGCATAGCATGCCATTCAAGTTGAAATTACATCAAAGAATTACACATACCTCGGGCTAAACATCAGCACCACAGGGAACTTCCACAAGGCTGTGAACGAACTGAGAGACAAGGCAAGGATCTGGCTAAAAATACTCCAATCAGTTATACAACCCATTGTCCTGTATGGTTGTGAGGTCTGGGGTCCACTCACCAGCCAATAATGTACAAAATGGCACAAACACCCAATTGAGACTCTGCATGCAGAATACTGCAAAAATATCAGAGTACGCAAAACCCCAAATAATGCATGCAGAGCAGAATTAGGACTATAGCCACTAATGATCAAACGCCAGAAAACAGCCATTGAATTCCACAACCACCTAAAGGAAAGTGATGCCAAACCTTCCATCACAAAGCCCTAACCTGCAAGGATATACCTAGAGAAGAGTCCCCTCAGCCAGATGGTTTTGGGGCTCTGTTCACAAATACAGAACCCACAGAGCCCCAGGACAGCAACACAATTACACCCAACCAAATCATGAGAAAACAAAAAGAGAACTACTTGACAAATTGGCAAGAATCAACCCAAAAAATATTGTAATGCTACCTTGCCCTAAACAGAGAGTAAACGATGGCAGAATACCTGACCACTATGACTGACCCAAAGCTAAGAAAAGCCTTGACTATGTAGACTCAGAGCATACAGTGCCTTGCAAAAGTATTCATCCCCCTTGGCGTTTTTCCTATTTTGTTGCATTACAACCTGTAATTTAAATTGATTTTTATTTGGATTTCATGTAATGGACATACACAAAATAGTCCAAATTGGTGAAGTGAAATTAAAAATAGTCATGCACGCTCAAGTCTTTTTTTTTTTTTGTCTTATTTCTTGTTTGTTTCACAATAAAAAATATTTTGCATCTTCAAAGTAGTAGGCATGTTGTGTAAATCTAATGATACAACCCCCCCAAACATCTATTTTAATTCCAGGTTGTAAGGCAACAAAATAGGAAAAATGCCAAGGGGGTGAATACTTTCGCACGCCACTGTAGCCTTGCTATTGAGAGAGGTCGCCATAGGCAGACCTGGCTCTCAAGAGAAGACAGGATATGTGGCCACTGCCCCAAAAAATAGGTGGAACCCGAGCTGCACTTTCTAACCTCCTGCCAAATGTATAACCATATAAGAGACACATATTTACCTGAAATTACACAAACCCATTAAGAATTCGAACACTATTCTTTTTTGGACAAACTCCCATATCTGTTAGGCGAAATACCACAGTGTGCAATCCCAGCAGCAAAATGTGTGACCTGCTGCCTCAAGAAAAGGTCAACCAGTGGGTCAGAAACACCAAGGTAAATATAACCTGTATCGGCCTATTTATTTCCCCCATCATTTGTACATTCTACTCTTTGCACATTGTCACAACATTGTACATAGCTTATGTAACATTTTAAATGTTATACCAGATTTTAATAGTAATATATTTTAAACAATGTTATTCTCTTGAAACTTTGTGTGTGTGTAATGTTTATTGTTAATGTCTGATTGTTTTTGTCTGTTGTTTTGTTTTAGTTTTTTTTACTTGCTTTGGCAATGTAAACACACGTTTCCCATGCCAATAAAGCCCCATTGAATTGAAATAAATTGAGAGAGAGAGAGAAAGAGACAGCAGAGAAGAAGTGGCTAGGGCACTGTCATCCTCGCTGGTCAAGGCCCATGATGATTGAGTGAACACTGTTTGTGTTCCAGTTACAGCTGAGCCATACAGCTGAGCCAACTAGATAGCGGAGGTAGATGATGTCAAGGATTGATGGGCGGGTTTCATCATAGCTATCGTAACTGTGTGGCTGGTCTCCACATGGGACATCAGTCTTTCCGTCACCCTCATTCACCTCTCTCTACATCCGTTTCTTTATCTCCTTCCAGCTGTAGCTTTGTCATTGACACACTGGCTTGTTTTGCCAGTTAAGTATGTTTGCATATGGCTTGTGTGTATGTTGCGTTAGCCTGTATAGTGTAGTGGGGTCTAAAATTATTGACACCCTTGATAAAGATTCGTATAAATAAAGTATTCATAAGTTTAGTGTTTGGTCCCATATTCCTAGCACGCAATGACTACATTAAGCTTGTGACTCTACAAACTTTTTGGATGCATTTGCAGTTGCAAGCTTGATGTAGTCATTGCGTGCTAGGAATATGGGACCAAATACTAAACTTTTGACTACTTTATAAGAATCTTTAGGGGTGTCAATTTTGAGCCCTACCTTTTTGAGAAAATTAAATATTACTTGTTAAACAAAATCTCTTTCTCTGGGCAATTGTCTTAGTATAAAATAATATATAAAATAATATACTTTCCAAATGTATCAAAAATATAATTTTCCAAATAGCTCATTATTTGAATGATTGATTTTTATACAGGTTATTTCTCATCTTTATCAAGGGTGTCAATAATTTTGGACCCCACTGTACACGTGTGTGTGCGTACGTGTCTGTGTGTGTGTGTGTGCCAGGAGAGGAGGCCTGTGTCCCGAGGCAGGGTGTGAGGACAGAGTTAAGGCAGAGAGGAAAGGCAACAGCTGGGAGTGATATTAGCTGTGGAGCACGCAGACATTCCTGCCCAGCACTGAGGGGAATGACACACAGCACTCTGCCGTCCACCCTAACTGCACCCTCTACACTGTATAAATCTCCCACTCCTGTCCACCCTGGTCTGACTCTTTGCGTACCAACCAACCAACTCTTCCCTTCTCACAGACTACTTCAAAAACCACTGAACACCGACCAGTGTGCCTTTATACTCGTAAAGGGTGCCTAAATTGGAACAAAGTAGCTGTACAGTAACATGCTATACATGACGTCAGAGCTTAGGGTCTCTGCTTCACAGCTCTGTATGGGCTTTGACTGACAGCCGTTCTGAACTTGAGTACCACGCGCGGCAAGCAGTTGCGCCCATCCCTACCGCTAATTGGGCAACTTTAGCACATTTTTATATTGTCTGAGTGGGGGAAATGCTGTAAATTAGACGTTGAGGATTATAATAATAATGTTGCACCTACCCCAAATGTAAAAACGTACTATGTTACTGAATGTATCCCGAGTATTTTCAGATTTTGTTATGAACAAATCTGGCGTAAAGTACAGTAAATATAAATGCACATAAAATCAAGAGTGTAATGTTTGGATTCACTCATGTCAGGTGAACTTTTGTGTCCTCACAATTAGTCTAACAATTTTCCCATAATCGACAAACTGTTCCACTTTGAACGTTTGTGTCCTCACCTTTAGTCTAA